GATTCAGTTGGGATCACAGGACTCCTCTGTACCATATTGTCGGGAATCTGAATGCTGCCAGGTACCGTGATGAGATTCTTGAACCCCTGGTATTGCCCACACTTCGTCAGATTGGTCAAGGTGCTTTCCTTCAGGACGACAATGCACGACCCCATCGCGCTCGGATTATCACTGACTATCACTGACAAAGGCAGATTACCGTTATGCAATGACCTGCTTATTCGCCAGATCTGGAGCCCACTGAACATCTTTGGGATGCCTTGGGAAGAGCCGTTCAAGCTAACCATCCACCTCCTGTTAATCTCCAGCAACTGTTAGGATTTCTTCATCAGGAATGGCAAGCAATTCCACAGACAACACTGCAGCAGCTTGTCCGATCTATGCGTAGAAGATGTCAGGACTGTATTGCTTCCAGGGGTGGGCATACTCGATATTGAAAGTACAGGATTGTCCTGAACTGTAGTGTGTGACTTTTGATTTATAGGGTACATGCAATTCATATTGATTTGCTCTGGTCAGCTGTATGCCAGCGTTTCTTTCGCCAATGAAATGTCATGATTAAATACTTATCTTTCCCAATCATTGTTGTTCCTGTGGCCACGATTTATTTTTTGAGTGATTTTGATAACTTATTTGGGTGTTCTTTAACTTCTTTTGAGTAGTATATTTATGTATCAGAAACTTAACACGTATAAGGCATCAGGAAATTACACTGTTAATGTACTATGTTTAATGTAGGTATAACATTGTTAATGTATTAATTAGAAGTAAAAAACCTCTTTTAATTTAGCCATCAGGATATAACACTTAATGTACGCATCAGGAAATAACACTGTTAATATATGCAACAAGAGTATCACTGACAAGGTAGGTGTCGGGAGATGGCACGTTTTGAAAAAGTTTAATGTCAGGAAATTAAACTATTAATGTAGTCATCAGGAAATGACGTGTTTACTTTATATGTTAGGAAATAACACTGTCAATGCAGACATCAGGAAATAACACTGTTAATATAATTATGCATACGCCAATATAACATGTCAATGTAACACTTTCACTATAGGCATCGCGACACAACACTGTTGATGTGACACTTTTAACATAGACATCAGGAAACAACGCTGTTAATGTAACACTTTTAATGTAAGCATTAGGTGAGGTGAGATGAAATGGGGTTTAACGTCGCGTCCAAGATTATTGCATTTATATAGCGACGTGCATGCGCGCGTGTGTGTGTGTGACTAATGCCGATTCAAGTGCTAGACCTCTGAGATACCGTGTCAAAGTTCAACATGAATACCCTACTCAGAAACAGTATACTGACTCATAGCCGACCAGTCCTTGTTTTAGCCCCTTAGTGCCGAGCGCCAGGCAGGATAACAACAATTACCCTCTTTTAACGTCTTTTGGTATGACGTATCGAGACCCCGAGCTTCCGCTCTCCGGGCGGACGATCTACCACTAGACCACGGAGGCGGTCGGAAGGAAAAATATTGTCATACACTTTTACTTTGTGCATTAGGAAACAACACTGTTAATGTAAGTATAAGGAAACAACATTGTCAATGTAACACTTGTTCTATAGGCATCAAGAAACAACACTGTTAATGCAACAATTATACTACAGACATCATGAAACGACACTGTCAATGTAACACTTTTACTGTAGACATAACGAAACAATACTGTCAATGTAACACTTTTACTGTAGACATAACGAAACGTCACTGTCAACGTAACACTTTTACTGTAGACATAACGAAACGTCACTGTCAATGTAACACTTTTACTGTAGACATAACGAAACAATACTGTCAATGTAACACTTTTACTGTACACATAACGAAACGTCACTGTCAATGTAACACTTTTACTGTACACATAACGAAACAATACTGTCGATGTAATACTTTTACTGAAGGCATCAGGAAACAACACTGTCAATGTAACACTTTTACTGTAGACATAACGAAACGTCACTGTCAATGTAACACTTTTACTGTACACATAACGAAACAACACTGTCAATGTAACACTTTTACTGTAGACATAACGAATTGACACTGTTAATGTAACACTTTTACTGTAGACATCATGAAACGTCACTGTCAATGTAACACTTTTACTGTACACATAACGAAACAATACTGTCGATGTAACACTTTAACTGAAGGCATCAGGAAACGTCACTGTCATTGTAACACTTTTACTGTAGACATAACGAAACAATACTGTCGATGTAATACTTTTACTGAAGGCATCAGGAAACAACACTGTCAATGTAACACTTTTACTGTAGACATAACAAATTGACACTGTTAATGTAACACTTTTACTGTAGACATAACGAAATAACACTGTCAGTGTGACACTTTTACTATAGACATCATGAAACGTCACTGTCAATGTAACACTTTTACTGTACACATAACGAAACAATACTGTCGATGTAACACTTTTACTGAAGGCATCAGGAAACGTCACTGTCATTGTAACACTTTTACTGTAGACATAACGAAACAATACTGTCGATGTAATACTTTTACTGAAGGGATCAGGAAACAACACTGTCAATGTAATACTTTTAATGAAGGGATCAGGAAACAACACTGTCAATGTAACACTTTTACTGTAGACATAACGAAACGTCACTGTCAATGTAACACTTTCTGTAGACATAACGAAACGACACCGTTAATATGACTCTTTAGGCATCAATAAACAACACTGTTGATGTAACAGTTTCGCTGTAGCCATCCGGAAACAACACTGTATATGAACACTGTTAATGTAACACGTTTAACATAACCATCAAGAAATAACACTTTCCATGTTGCCATCAGAAATGACGCTGTTAATGTAACACTTTAAATGTAAGCATCAGGATATAGCGCTAGTTAGGGCCACCGGGCAGAACTTGTCAGTCTTCGTGATGACAAGGAAGGACATACACCGACAGGATGATGGCACTTTCACTATGGTTTCTTGCAAGGATGTGTATTATTTTACGAATATTACAATTAATCTCTATGTTTTGACCCTTTTGTTATGGATAATATGTAATGTGTCATTTATAGATTCACCACAGCTGGGTGTCACGGGACGTTTAAAAAAATAGAAGTGCTGTTTATACTTAGGCAAATACAAGTTGTTTTAAGTGTGCCTCGCTTATTAACATGCAGCCGTTTTGTGGCAGGAGCACTGCTGCGCGGCGTCAGACAACAAACACTTACTTTTTTATGCCAATTGTGTGAGTGGCTGGTGCCACCGTAGGACGTGCTTACCCTTTTAGCGGACACCTGGTGTCATCACTTATTATCAGTGGTCCATTCACACAATTGACATCATTATTTTGTCTTTTACGCCCACATTCGTCACCACTCGCCCCTTTCCGTAACCTGCAAGAAGACTCGTCCCCCAATCGATGAATGTTATGTGCGAAAATACGACAAACCAATCAGAATGCGCGTATGATTTCAAGTTCTTCGTCAAAGAATCCCTCAGAAATAATTTTTTGATTTTACATGTCTTGCATCTAAAAATATACCAAAGACACAGATAATGTGTTCAATCATACTGTGTAATTCCGCATGTCCCGATGTGCTTTAAATTGCATCTGAAATATATATAATATATGGGGAAATATGTGTGAACCATTACGCAACGAGTTGACAATTGTTTTAGGTATGCCCGTTTGCGCTAAGACGAAACCCGGTCGCAAAAATGACCAAGAGAGGGGCACGAGTCGCTATTCGGCTTGTCCCGGAATAACACGAGTTGGTCACGAATGTTACGCCCAATGGAACGTGTTGCGGCTGATTATTCTTTTGCTTTGACGTTTTATATTTGATTCAGCTACAAAAGATTTTCACACAAAGTTGTCATTGAAAAGATTGACACTATTATTCCATAAACGTGTTTGTTTAAGTTGGGAAAATGAGGTTTCGTTGAGTCATATTCAAAGAAGTTACATGCATGTTTTAAAAAGCAGACCATTTTAGTTGTCATTAAAACACTTAATGGTAGGCAATGGGTGTTATAGTGCAAATGAAAACAGAAGCGTAACACGTGTCATTTTCAGATACATGCAAGGGTTGACTCTGTAAGCAGGTACAACAGCAAACACCTACACAGAACAATTTATACAATGAATAAACTGTTCCATCCATGGCACAACATTATTACAAAGAGCTTTTTTAGCCATAAGGTTAGAATTAATCGAGTTCACAATCATCGTATGTGCACTAGTCTAGTGCAAATATCTAATGCAAATATCGTTCTGGCGGCATTGTTTACGTCATTCGAATCTTATTGTGACGTAAGGTCGGAATGACGTCACATTAGAAACGACGTCAAAGCTGAAGATTGATAACGTCATTCGACAAATTGCGGCTTATTATGACAGCGGTGGTAATCACTGCATTTTAACAAAGGGGAACTCAAAAGGATTGAGAAATAATGGGGAAAAGAGAAAGTATTAAACTCACATGTGAATCATACCGATTTTACGAAACTCGTGTGAGAATCCATGTATTACCCTCGCTCTCGCTCGTGAAATACAAGAATTCTAACACTCGTTTCTTAAAATTCTCGTATAATAATCTCTATATCTATGTATACATGATCAAGTTCGGTCCTTCCGTCTTGAACGACGGTGATGCTACTGCAACATTCCGATTGGACATGTAACAACGTCATTGTGTAGTGTGTGTGTGTGTGTGTGTGTGTGTGTGTGTGTGTGTGTGTGTGTGTGTGTGTGTGTGTGTGTGTGTGTGTGTGTGTGTGTGTGTGTGTGTGTGTGTGTGTGTGTGCGCGCGTGTGCGTGTGCGTGTGTGTGTGTGTGGCTTTATCACGTCACTGGCTGCCTTTCACTACCCGCGGCTCATTTCCCAGCCTTCTTCAGAAAAGCTGTCTTTACTGTTTCGTCCATGACACATAACAAAAGACACACACCCATCTATCGCCACTTACGTCAATATCTGACCTGTTCTCAATTGCAGTTGTTCGGCGTGTTGGTCATCCCTATCAGAACCGGACGCCGCCGAAGAGGAAGAAGCCACGGACATCCTTCTCCCGTCTGCAGATCATGGAGTTGGAGAAACGCTTCCACCGACAGAAGTACCTGGCGTCCGCGGAGAGGTCGGCTCTGGCCAAAGCCCTGAAGATGACCGACGCCCAGGTCAAGACCTGGTTCCAGAACAGGAGGACGAAATGGAGGTGAGATTCATGGACTCGAGATCTTTTTAGATATTTTTTACTCAAACAGTATCTTGCCAAGGCAAGGGTGTTAACTGACTGTAAAAGTCCATGAACACACAATGCCATTTAGAAAGTGGTCAAATGTTACAAATGGTATATTTGGGATAACACTAGACTAACATTTAGTCTCTGAAATCTTATATTCACAATATCCTTCTTGATTCTAAAAATAAAAATAAATTCCCTATGCTGATTTGTGGAATAGAGCTAGCTTGAGCTGGCTAGACTTGCTTTTGTATGCGTTTCTAGGTAAAAAAATATCATAAAATAAATATATTCCACGGTCATGGTGCAGGGCTAGGATAACACTTTCTTTGTTAAGTACAGCTTCTCGTACTTTTTTGGGTTAAGACCCCTCCAGGATCAGAACCCACACTGCCAGAGTAAGGCACCTAATCGCCAGCACACAAAGACAGCGATCTAACTCACTCAACCACCGAGGCTTCCACAAAATGAAAGTCCGACAACTTGTAGTCTAGATCACGTACTTTGTGTACCCCTCCGACAAGTGTAAATTGGCACGGCTCCCATGGCCGAACGCTATGAACACACAATGCCATTCATAGCGTTCGTGTGTGTTCATAGCGTTCGGCCATGGGAGCCGTAATTGATATTAAGCTGTTGATGACCATCGTTGACAGTTACCTTAAGTGTCCATTATGGCCTTAAGAAAATCTGTTTGTTCTTTTATTTCATCCTCGATATTTTCTGGAATCTGAACCTTAACAGGCACTCATCCTAAAATATGAAATTCGATCTAACTCTAAATTATTCATAAAGTCAAAAACAGAAATATGTCGAATTCTGAAAATATATTCTTTATTCTAATAGTGGATATTCATCGTATAATCATTCTTTAGACATAAAAACACCAAATCATTAAATGCATCCTGATTCGCCTTTTACAAAATGTAGAAAATTTACGAAACTCTTTCATTCATGATCTTTCACAACATTTGTTTAACAAAACATCTAGAATATATCTGTTCTTAAGAAACAAACAATTCCAAATTCAGAATGCATCTTGATTCATCTTTTTCAAATGTTTCAATCTATGTATTGAAAAAGGAATCCCTCAGTGAATACATTGATTAAATTAAATCTTTATTTACTTATAAAGAATCTCCAATAGATTTATTCTCTTGACAAAATTTTCTGACTCTTTAAGGACGTCGTGACTCAGCGCATAGAAGGTATTTCAATCGAGATCTTTACCTGCACATGTTGAAAAAGGTCCCAAATTGAATAGTTTTAATTCGGCTCTTGAACTGTTTCACTGCAACGAGCCATGTTGAAATACTGTGTTGTTTCAATTCTCGATCGACTGTTGAAATCTCTTGATGGTGCTTGTCACGTCTAGACTGTTGTGTTTTTCTTACTCGCAAATGCATCCCACAATGCAAAGAGACAGTCAAATAACCCACATGGGATTACAAATCTGTGACTGCACTTTTACCTTCGACATCAGACGTCGATTGACCCGCTCAGTGGTAATCGAGCACGATTAGATAAGTACAGAATCCAATTAAATCCTGAAAGGTATGCGTTTAACATTATCAACTTTCTATGAGACTTCACATAAGCTCTCAAAGAATCTAATATTATGGACAGTAGTTCGGTTAAATTTTTATAGGCGGGTGAGCATCCTGACGAGTTGACTCAAAAGCGTCATGGGAGATAACTCTTGCTCTTCAAAGACTCGAGTAATTGCCCTAGTGGCTCAGCAAAATCGAATTGTTCTCCAATACCAGAGTTATTCAATTTGTTCAGCGTGTTTGAACTCCAAGTACTAATAATTGATCCATCTGCTCTGATCAGAGCGTGAAATGCTATTAACCCCCGACTAACACCACATCATTTGAGATTAGAAGCTCTCCTTCACCGAGAAGTCAGCATTGTGTCCCCTTTGAAAAGACTGCTGTGAGGCATGTGTAAGCTGGCAGGCCATTGAGACAGAAGTGGAGTTGGAAACAATTTCTAAAACTCGTAAAGTCCTTAATAACGTTTGTTTTCGAAAAACATTAAGTTAATACTTCCCCCACACATCACCATTCAAACTTCACCCTGAATTAAATTTTCACCATTTTTTTAATTTATTCAAAGTGACCACACCTACATCGATAGCATTTTAGCAAGCTCAGCAGTTTTGGTCTGTACGTTGTACGTTTACATACCATGTGTGTACAAGGTCTGAATTCGGTATTGAAATAGTACAGTCAACATCATTTCAAAATGAGACCGCCTCCTTGGTCTAGTGGTAGAGCGTCCACCCGGAGAGCGGATGGTCCGGGGTTCGATCCCCGACCGCCTTATACCAAAGACGTTAAAAGATCGTACTTGTTGTTACCCTGTCTGTCGCTCGGCATTAAGGGGCTAAAACAAGGACAGGTCGGCTAGAGGTCAGTAAACTGCGGCATGGTATCTCAGTGGGCTGGCACTATGAAATCGGCACCAGTCCGGACTATTACAAGCCACACACACACACACACACACACACACACACACACACACACACACACGTGCATGCACGTCGCTATATAAGTGCAATAATTTTGGACGCGACGTTAAACCCAATTTCACCTCACCACCTAACCTACCTTCAAGATGGTACTACACGTTAATAGTATTCTTAATTAGTTTTGGTTATTTAATTATACGTGGCTGCCTTTGGGGACGATAATCTTCAAGCGCCTGAAGATTAAGGACACGTTAGGCAATAATTGTTGTATCACACCTCTGGGGGTTGATTGTGTGCTTATTTAACCAAATCTTGCAAGTCCAATGTACGTGAATATGTAAATTGTGTCGAATTCACTTACAAACATTCTGTAATATATTTGTACTTGATAACGGTGTGAGGTCGGCCTGGTTTACAAATACGTGCCTCAATAAAAAATATAATCCTGCAACAGCGACACTAAAATAATTGCACATATTTGCTATATTACTTTTTGAAAATACTCATTAAAGCCCCTAGTTGTATAATGGCTCATTATGTGTAATATGTGATACTGTTGTCGTGTAATACTGTATGTTGATTATTTAAGTTATTTTCTTCTTTTCCCAGGCGACAAACTGCAGAAGAAAGAGAAGCAGAACGACAAGCCGCAAACCGGTTGATGATGTCGTTACAAGCGGAAGCTAGTAAGACGATTTACGACATTCGTGATCCTTTGTGTATGAGTAATTCGTCCCTAAACGCTCTTCAAAACCTTCAACCTTGGGCAGAAGATGGCTCAAGGAATAATGGCTGATGTTTCAACTCAATTAATAAATAATTATTGACTTTCAAGCCACCATGAAAGGGCTGTTCCTTTTATTCTGCCCAGATACCATGGGTCACGTTAAAATCGGGAAAAAGGCTGCCTCGACCAAGTCCGTGTTTCTCCGACCATCAATGATTTCAACATCAACGAGGGGGTGTTACTTATCGTGTATCGTTATGGGGAAAATGACTTCATAGATTCTCAAATCTATTTCAAATGCATATCATGTGATGAAACCATGTTTGAAACATGAATGGATGGCTGAATGACTTGCTGTATATTTCCTTCAGTGCATACGTGATATGTATATCAGTGCTATATGAATGTTTACAATGTTCACGTTTCAAATTGCACATAGTATATTTTGTACATACTATTTTTCATTTACTTCAAATTACATTTCACGTCCTCTATATTAACTATAATATAATACGACGAATACATAATTTGTTGATTTTGACAGACTGTAGTCTAGGCATAGTATGGCTTAAGTAACACCGGCGTGACTCCCTCCCTCACTCACTCACTATTCTCATTAAAGTATGTTTGGGGCTCCGCATCAATCCGTTTTACATTAATATTCATAGCCAATTATAGCCACGTGGGTGTATTTAAATGAGAAAGGAAGATAACCTATATACATAGACGATCTGAGATGGTTATAAATAATATTTTGGTATTAGTAGGGAAATAATAGTAATGTTAAGAAAAATGTCTTCCCCTATAAACACCCATTTATATGTTCAGATACTTTCTAAATGTATTCATATTAAGTTTCTTTATGTGCTGATAATTTCAACAATAATATTGTTTCACACATTCACTGTAGACCGTCAACATTTGGTAATATAAGCTTCTTTCCTTCCTCTCAGACGAGCAAAGCACGGGATGGTAGTAAGCAGCTGTTGCACTGCCACTGCAAGCGATGATAGGTAGCGAGGTGTGTATGATCATGTGCCAGTGTAAGTCAAGAGATAAAGCGAGTCTGTCCACTCGGATTCGTTTGGTTGTCATTTAAACATACATGGACTATCACCAACCTTCACGGGTTATAAAAATATACAAGCCTGCTAACGTCTTCTTTATGCCAGAACTACTTTGCTTAACGAATTGACAGTCACCACATTATTTATAATTACATTTATGAATGTATCCTAACTGTAACTGTAACATTATTTTTAATATGATAAACTATCATTTACTATGGTATGTGTAGGAGGAGAAATGAATACGTTTCGTGTCTTTTGCAATAGTTTATATTTTTAAAGAAACTATGGTTTTGTATTTATTTATTATTTTTTATTTATTTATTTGGATTGGTGATACATTCAGTTTATATTTTATGTTTCGTTATTTGAAATTGTTTTAGTTTTCTGTTTCTTTATCATATTTGTTGGCTGGTGGTTGTTGGTTTTTTTGGGGTGTTTCTTTTGAAAGAGGGGTCGACTTGATATTTTGTTTCGTTTTTAAATTAACATTTTACCTTTTCTATAGCTTTTATTTTTATTTATTTTATTTGGATAGGGGAATTCAGTACATATCGAGAATAGGACCTATGATGAACACGCTCGTACTAGAAAAACTATTGATTCAGCATACGGAGTTTTCCGCAAAGCTTGACAGAGGGGCGATTGTTACAATAGGCGTTGCTGACCATCTTCTCGCCGTGTACAGTTCATTGTTGTCACGTGTCTGTTGAATGAAATAAATTATATTCATACTTACCCAGTGTCAGTGTTTGTTTCTTGAGTCACTTACTCACCAACTTACTTAGTGTTGTCTATGCCGTCTACATGTGTGCGACGTCGTCAACTGCCTTTACTCCACCCATACAAGTGACGGCAGTTCAGACAACGCTTTTAGAGTGAGTGAGTGAGTTGGGTTTAACGCCGCTTTTAACAGTATTACAGTTATATCACGGCGTGTCAGCTTAATGTGGGAGGAAAGCCCGAAGTGATGCATGTCTCAGACGTTTACTACTTCGGTGAAACCCACGAGCACGGGTATGGTGCTGAAAAACCTGGAAACGTAATCGGGGCGAACCGGGATTCGAACTCACAATCATAGGTTTCTGACGTGCCCAAGGGACGCAACTCTGCACAGTCAATCTCCGCTTTTAGACGTTGTATGCGAGCTAGTCGGCATCCTGTACACGCTATTCCATGCAAGTTGTTTGGTGATTGACCTTTCGTCACAGAGGGTGCTGTCCATCGTCGGGCCAGGAGGCATCTTCTTGAAATTTACAAAATTAAAGTACATACCCCTTACACATTGGCGTTTGTGCATATATTTAATACACACCTTCAGTCTGCCCGTCTCCACTGTGTCACTTCCTGTACGTCAGGTGAAGGTCACTACAATGTCAAGGTTGAAAATATTGTGATTATTTGCACGGAGGCCCATTTCAAACAGACTGCTCTGTTAATCACTAAATGTCGGAATTTCGACATTTCTTTCAAGAAACATCATGAAAACACACTTTAAGCGTTGTTACAATTGTCTATTTGTATAATTGTCTGTTTCGTGTGCCAAATCAATAACGTCAAACATGAATACTTCAAACGACCAACTTTCCGATTATATTTAATGGCAAAACAAATGTTCAAGCATTTGTATGTTATTTTGCAGTAGAAGCTATTACAACGGCGTGTTATGGAGTTCGAACACAATGAAACACTGTTTAGCTAATGCCGTACCAGATTAACAAATATGAAAAGTAATCTAAGGCCATTTGTCAAAGTCTGACCTTTAATGGCTGTATATTGGCAATATTTGCACAGCTAGGCTGCATAAAAAATTATATGCTTCTCGGGCACTTTTTTCTCGAAATTGATGAGGGGAGGGAGTTTATTCATATTTTTATTGAGAAACAAAAATGATTTTGGTTTTCTTTCCCAACATGGATATCAACAAACACATCTGGGCATGCATTAGTCGGTCTTACAGACCCTGATACAAATATATCAAATACAGCCCATGCAAGTCTATAATATTTGGCAAGTGTAGATTAGTGCAGGATCAGTATCTGAAAATGAAGAGAGTCTCTGGGCTCCTTTTTATTATTTTTTTATTAAGATAATTTAACAACTTTTGTTTTTTTTCTGTACGATATGTTCATTTCAGAGATTAGATGTTAGTCAAGGCATACATGATTGAACTCGGCACTTCAGTTCAACGTCAGGTGTCAATTTATATCAGTTGTTATTTTATATATAGAGCATATGCTTCTTATGAGTGTGGGTCTGAATGCGTTTCATTGGCATTAAAAATAACTGAGACTTAGGATTTACAGTGACGTGACGGTGCCCCAAACATTTCCATTATTTAGACCTTTGACACATCGTGGCAGTGATCATGGTCACTTGCCGAAGGCTGCCATGAAGTCTAGGTCGTATGATGATACATTATTGCATTGACCTATTTGTGTATTTACGATTCTACATACATATAAATCCTCGTGGACTCTTCCCAATGGGATTTATATGTATGTAGAATCGTAGATACACTGTCCAACTATTTAAACTATCTTACCTTTTGGTCGAACTCGAATTTGTTGTATGCCTGGAGTCTATTAATATAAATGTCAATAAAAGTGCAAGTCTTTGAAAGACATTCAGAAGTGATACACATAAGGAGTGAGTGAGTATGGTTTTACGCCGGTTTTAGCAATATACCAGCAATATCACGACGGGGGACACCAAAAATGGGCTTCACACATATACCCATGTCGGGAATCGAACCCGGATTTCGGCGTGACGAGCGAACGCTTTAACCACAGGGCTACCCGACCGCCCCGATACACATAGGGAAGATAATTATGGATGTCATCGTCTTTATTATGAGGAACACAACGTTGATTGACCTGACGAAGGAGTAAGCATATACTCCGAAACGTTGTGTTCCTCATAATAAAGAAGCTGACATCCATAAATTCTTTTCCCTGAAAAAAAGTGTATTTTTCAGACGCCCGGAATACCAGCGTTAATATTCATTTCGCTGCAATAATGAGATATGACATTCACAGACCGGCGATAAGATTGGCGTGCAAGTGAGGACCGACAGTATCACACATAACCCGTGACACGAAAGAAAGTCAATGTTGGCATCTCACAAACGACATATGTGGGCACTTGATAGGATCAGTTTTTCGCTCGTCATTTTGAAACAATGTTTCTGCTTTCAGAACAAAAAAGATACTCTTTTTAACGTATAATGTTGACTCTGGCGCCGTGTTGATGCCTCGCATCACGGCTGTCTCGTGTTCTTTGCTTTGCACCAAATCGATCTGCTGACACGGGGAAGAACTGATACTGCAGATTACGGCGGAGTTGTCTGCCCTTGTACGACACCCAGGGATAACATGACAGGCAAGTGGGCCGAACAACAACACGGGCGCAAAGGTCAGGGGTTCGATCCCCGGCCGCGTTATGTCTGAGTGTCTGGGTGTGGTATTGATGTCAAACCGCGGCATGGTATATCAGTAGGCTAGAATTTTAAAACCGGCTTTAGGCTGGAGTGGTAAAACTACACACATACACGTGCGCGAACGCACGCACACACACAGGCATATATGCATGCACGTCGTAATTAAAATGAGTTAGTGAGTATTGTTTTACACCGCTTTTAGCAATATTCTAGCAATATTACGGCGGGGGACACCAGGAATGGGCTTCACACATTGTACCAATGTCGGGAATCGAACCCGGTTCTTCGGCGTGACGAGCGAACGCTTTAACCACGAGGCTACCCGGCCGCCCCTCGTCGTAATATAAGGCTGCAATAATCTTGAACGCGACCTTAAACCCAATTCACCTCACCACATCAGTTAATTTCAGAGCGTGTCAGCATACTAATCATGATGATGTAGAAAATGGCATTACATTTCAACAAAAATAAGAAATGCTGACAAACGCAAGTTGTTTTCAGAATAATGTGTCTTCATCTATCATTTTGTTTAAATGCCAGACACCTAACCCAACCCCTCCCCTTTCAAAAAGGATGTACACGTGATGGCTGTTTACGATGTTTTGTGGGTGTCAGACGTTATGAGTCTCTTTTAAAGTATGTTCCTGTTCCAATCTGTGTACGGGCATGGGTGGCCCAGTCGTCTAAGGCGCCGCGATTCGCTGTGCAGAGTTGCGTCCCTTGGGCACGCCAGAAACCTATGATTGTTGGTTCGAATCCAGGTTCGCCCCGATTATGTTTCTAGGTTTGTCAGCACCATACCCGTGCTCGTGGGCTTCACCGAAGTAGTAAACGTCTGACCTGCATCTCTTCGGGCTTTCCTCCAACATTAAGCTGACACGCCGTGATATAACTGTAATACTGTTAAAGCGGCGTTAAACCCAACTCACTCACTCACCCAATCTGTGTGCAAGGTTTGCTTAAAGGAGTATCGCGATATACAGGCCTTGATTCATTGATTAATGTGAGTGCATGTCTGTAACTAAGAGTGAGTGAGTGAGTTTGGTTTAACGCCGCGTTGAACCACGGCGTGTCGGCTTATGTGGGAGGAAATCCCGAAGTTAGGCAGTTCTTAGATGTTAAGCGCATTGGTGAAACATACCAACAAGGGTATGGTGCTGACAAACCATTTATCATTATAAGGGCGCAATTTGGATTCAAACCAACTATTATCACCTTCCCGAGGCAAGGGAGTTAACTGACTGTAAAAGTCCAGTTTCCACCCTTGCAGAACTAGGCCGGAATGTCTGAGCTCGATCGTAGTGTCACCATTGACTATTACGAATTATGTCCTTTCTGTGTCCCTCCTACTGACCAATCAGATTCAAACTTCAAACCAAATGGCGGCGCCCAGTGAAGACGATCTGATCGACCATCAAGAACTATATTGTAATAAAACGGGTCTTAGTTCGCGAAGTGCATCACATCACGTGTGCACTTTATTAAAAACATAAAAGGATTTGGAAAATATTTGGTGACGCTAAGTTGACGGAACACATGTTTTGCAAATCTTACAAGCGATCGAAATCTGCTCGGCAGTTTACGAACCAGATGTTGATATCGTTACGCGATTTTCATTGGACTATGCATATACTCGTAAGTCCTGCCAAAATATTATTCCATAATTCCAGCTTAGTTCGGTGGAAACTGGACTTTTATCATGTATCTGCCACAAAGTGGGCAAATCAAGCAGGACCATGAGTCATATGTTCAAGCATGTGACATGATATATATACTGCCGTGCAAAGGAAAGTATACACCAATGTTTGATGAAAGCCACAAGAAATGCTTGTTCCGTGGTGATAATGTCCAGAATGAAGCTTTTACCGGTATTGTCATGATCAATCTGAGTTGCTTCACAGACACGTGACATTAAGGATAGTAATGGTTTGATCAGGTTTGTAATGTTTGGGTTAAATCTAATTTTCAAATATATATACTTTTTTTCCCCCGCATTTTAGATAAACAAATAGTTAAAATCTTCTAAAATTATTTCATTTAGTCCAAGCGAATTGGAGGAAACAAATCCAACTTCATTGCTTACATGTACATTCATGGCCAAATTCATGATGGTCTTATTAAAGTAGTAATGGATATTATCCAGTGTTTAATACTTGCATCAATACCCTCGATCCATTCACCATCGTTTCGGAAGTGACGTCACTAGCTCCATCTCTCTACTCACAGATTCCTCTAGATCATCAGCCTGAAGTCAGCATCCAATCAAAATGACTCCTCTGAATGAGATTTCGGTATATACTAATTAAGAGAAGTTAAAGAACATCCGATATTTTCATGTTTCTGACGTTAATCTTCCATGACAGATTAACTAGTATAATAATATGAAAGAATCAGTGGGTTTTTTTCTTTT